ATGGCCACCCTGAATCGCAGACGCCCCAGGGGTCGGTGGAGGAAGATGAAGAGGATGAAGAGGAGCCCAAGCTGAACGGGGACGCGTCTCGCGCAGAGACGGAGGGCTTCCCGCAGGTTATTTGTTGTTCCAAGCCCCCAGTGGTAAAGACAGAAATGGTGACCATCTCTGACACCTTCGCTGCCCAGAAGACGGAGATCTCTACCTTGGAGGTGCCCATCGTGCACACGGAGACCAAAACCATCACGTACGAGGCTGCGCAGGTAGGAGCTTGATCCGGGGTCCGTACGCCGCCCTCTAGTGGTGTGTAACCGCATCACGCCCTCCAGCGTCATCGTGTGTCGCATTCTTTGGGCCCGCCCCCTGCAGGTGGACGGCGCCGGGGACAGTGAGCCCGGCATGCTCATGACTGCACAGACCATCACCTCGGAGTCCCTATGCACCACCACCACCACGCACATCACCAAGGTAACTGTCTGTCCGGCCGCCCGCCCACGCGCTGGGAAGCCGCTCGCGTTCCCTCGCCCTCCCCTGAAAATTAATCAAGTTTGGAACCAAACAGACCACAGCTTGCTGCCTGGTACCCTCCGAGCTCCGCGGCTCCATCTGGTGTTTGAGCGACTCTGCTGGCCGTGGTGCTCGGCAAGCGTGCCGATCGGCCAAGAGTCGGTGTCAGCGTGACACAGAAGGGCACCCCTGGCTCAGCATTTGCCTGCCAGTGAGTCACATGGTGACAGACCGCCGATGAGCCCCCACCTCCCGGCTCCCCCCACTGGCCGCTTGTGACACGCTGCTGCTGCACTTCAGGCTGCTCTCAGCCGGTCGGCAGTTTGGCGAAATCGAACCTCTGCTCTGTCGTGTTCGGGTGCCTCACCTGCCACACGTGCCGGGTAGCATTAGTATGTGAGGCTCAGCACTCGCGCAAAACAGCTGCAAAATGAAGTCATGAGCCTATTAAGCTCTGGAATGCAGGAGTAGTTTGAGCAATTTTTTTGTTTGTTGTTCATCCACAGATGCTGAAAGGTGGGGTTTCGGAAACGAGAATTGAAAAGCGCATCGTCATTTCGGGAGACTCTGATATCGACCACGATCAGGTGAGACGTTTGGGGACCCCCGGCATTTGGGGAGATCTCACAGGCGCTGGGTGTCAGTCCGCCGGAGGGGTCTCACTGCGGCAGGTTGGCGGGAGGCTGACGTGGTGTTTCACAGCATGCTCACGCTTGGCCCCGAGCGCGATTGTTCCCTCTCATCCCTCCCTCACAGGTCTGCGTTCACATTGCGCTTAACGTTCCAGGCCTGAGCGCGCTTTCATCATCACTGTGCGCCTTTTTATGTTGAAGGAAACATAGGAAGGAAAGCGTTTTCACACAGCACACTTGAGTTCATGATTAATGTCCTGTTTTGCGGCTTATTTGGAGCCATTTTGGGCACGATGACACACGGCCCTCTTACAGACTTACCGAGCACGGATGCGTACCGTGCAAACAAGCTGAAGCAGGCCCGGGCATGGTGCAGAACGATCACACCGGTCAAACGTGCTCGGGCACGGTACCGACCACCTAGTGTGAGTACACCCTTAGTGTGAAGCTGATAGCTCGTTAACGGCGAATAAACATTGTTTCCTGGGCTCTCACCCCCCTCCCTTACCCTGGGAAGGCAGCATTAAGAGGATTTTCATAAGCCTGGGGGAGTTAACGGAGTTTGCTTTGTAATGAGACTTAAAATAGGCAGACAGTACTGCTGTGATGAACACAACTCTGTGGCGTAGGGGGAGGATTCCCCTTATGGGTACAGTTTGTACCTTAGCGAAGGCTGTGGGTTTGAATCCCAAGACTGGCACAGTAAGTCATCACCAAGGGGTTGTTGGGTAAGGCCATCTGCTCCAGGCGCACCAGCCAATTCTGTGTTCTGATTCTCATGTGTGCGTCGCTTTGTACAAACGTAATGTAGATGCGATGGACCAAAGCTGAACATGTCAGGAATGTAAGGGCATCAGGGGATGTTCTAAATGAGCAGCATGGCTGTCTCTTAGAATTTGAATCAAATGAGAAGCGGAAAATGACAGGAGCGTCACGAAGACGGAAACAAACCCGGTAATCCCTCTGACTGCCTCAGTCCTTCGGTGTGAAAGACATGCTCATCGTGAGCTTTGAGGTGCTGCAGGGATCCCCGGGGATGCTGGTGTGTCGTGTCCCGGCCCCCCCCCCCACCCCCACCCCGCCCCCCTTTGCCATCCTAGTCGGTGATGCTGCCCGGAGAGGATCCCCGTTTCCATGGAAGCACGGAGTCCCCACTCCTGGGGGAATCGGATTATTCTGCAGCCATGAAATACCCCAATAAATATTCTAAGCTAATGCAAAGCCTTCCTCCCTGTTCCTGGTGGGGGTTCTAGGCGTTGGCCCGGGCTATAAAGGAAGCCAAAGAACAGCACCCTGACATGTCAGTGACCCGGGTGGTGGTGCACAAAGAGACTGAGGTGATGGAGGAGGGCAAGGACTGAGCGGCCAGGTAAGGCGTCCCACAGCCTCACAGCCCTGCCGCCCCGTCAGCTGTGCCTGCTTCTCCCAGAATGGGCGCGTGGCCATATTGATGTTTAGCATTAATATCAAAATGATTCCAGCTGGGGCTCGTAAAGGCAGCCGCTGCTGTGTAATTACCGCTGTAACGGTAAACCTGCCTGGCTATAATGAGGGTCGTATACCAGGAAGCTTAATGAGATGCCACTAACAAGCAGAGCGGGGCCCCGCCCACAGCCTGCCGTCGATGCCCCTCCCCCCCAACGTGGCAGTTAGGGATTCGCTCATAGGGGGCAGCTGTTTGCAGAAGTGAGAGGGGCTTCTGTGAATTTTGACTCTGGTACTGTCTTCACTTCAGCTTGGACAGTTGATATTGTCATACCTGACCTCTGCATATCTCTTTGTTCTTTATGAGAAGTGTTGACTTGCTTGCCAGAGTCCTGAAACGCAGGGATGGTCTGTGCACTTTTACTCAAAACCTCGTGTGTTCCGTCCTCGTTCAGTCGTTCGTGTCTCGCCGTCACACCAGTCCTTACTATGAAAGCATTTTAGCTAGTAAACGATCTTAGTCGCCAAAAGAAATGTTTTAAAGCAACTGGAAGTTGTAGTTTTTTTGGGCTGTCTGACAACCCAGCGCTATACTCCTGAGACCTGAAAAGGCAAACTGTTGACCACAGTGTGGCAGTATGAAGGATCATCGAACTCACATTGATGACTAATGAGGTCTGTCTTTAAAACCTACCAATCAAATAGGAATATAGCAAATGACAGAACAGTTTGGTTTGTGAGTGTGGATGAAATTCCCTTTAGACAACCTAGGAAGGGTCACAGCTGTAAAGAAGCCATGTGTGTCTTTTGATTATTGCTGGTAATTAATAGGGATTAGTGATTATATTATGGTAATGTGGTTGTTAAGCCTAGGATTCCATTACATAGGTCTGGGAGTGTTTGATGAACCCTAATCTGAATATAACTATTATCTGTGTCATTGCAGAGGAGACCGTGGAGCCAATGAGAATTCATGTTATTTTCCAAGAGGAAATCCCCCAATCATCTGTCCAGAAACACCACGGTTACACCTCCAGACAAAGATGGCTCCCAAGGACCAACCCCAGTCTCCATGCTTTGCACAACTTCCATTTTTTATCATTCATAAGAAAACCACTTAGCTAACGTGTAGCTTGTTTTAATTACTTAGTGCTTCTGCAGAAAAATATCTTTATTAAAATCTTTTAGGGTTTCATAAACTGGTCATTTTTTTCCTATTTTTTATTTTTTTTCCTAGTGTTCAGTAGCTGTCACATTCCTAGTATGTACATAACGGTTATTTTTTTTTTGTTTATCATTTTTTTGAGAAACTACGACCTTTAAAACAGAAAAATATTTAATGTCATCGTTCCGGATTCATGAAGTTGACGTAGTGTGGCGAAGAGGGCAGCCTTGGTTCCGAATCAGTCTTTGCGTCATTTAATCCCGAACCGCGCGAAGGCAGAGGATGGACCACCAGCACATGTGACTGCGGCACGTGCCCCTGCGTGGAACCGGCGGCGGGGCAGATGGACGGATCGGCGCGGCACGTGCTGCTACTCTAAATGCCAACTCGATCTCCAAACTATGCAGTCGGTCCATTTCAAACATTCCACGACTGGGAGGAGCCTCTTATCTACCTCCCTCCAAGAGCAAAACCGACGAAACAAGGAGGACAAACTAAAGTGATAAAAACGGAAATTCTAGGCAGCTTGGAAACTCGCTTTTCTGTAACTTTCTGGCAACATTAATCAGATTTATATTTGTAGATCTTTTTGCTATCTTTTAAAACTTTGTCTTAAACTGTAAACCAATTTAGACCTTTTAATATATATCTTTTTGGATTTTTTTTGACTAAAGTATACAAAACCAATGGCCCTTTAAATCCCTGTTTTTCTATAGGTGTACCTGAGAGAGACCCTCCTTTAGCGTTGCGCTACCTGTGATCTGGCTACCTTCCCCAGACCTGGTCACGTCCGCTTGCGCTCGGACCCGGGTGCACAGCCGCTCTTTAGGCTTTTTAGCAGCTTGAGAAGTGCGTCCTGTCTTTCTGCCCGCACCCGTTCGGTGTTCCCCTGTTTAAAATAAAGGTTTGTTTATTCTCTACCTGCTGGCTCGTGGTTGATCTGTAACTCCCGTTTCCTTATTCGCGTACTGGAGCTGCCTCCATTTCCCTTGTGGTCTGGATTTGTTCTATACAAGCAGCCTGTACTTGTTCTCTTAATTAGGCTTCAGTTGTGTTCCAGATAAAGTTCAAGTTGACTTCCTTTGATGGGACACCATCCCAAATTCCTGGAAAGGCCTTAAACTTTCCTCTTAGTGAACTGATGAAGGGTTCAGCTGGCTGAGCACAGCCACAGAGGCAGGGATATACACAGCTTGTATCTAATGCCTGCACACTGTTCATCTGTGTTTACTGAGAGACTTTTGATTGATTGCCCTTTTAGATTAAATGATTTTACACTTTCCACAGAGACTTTCCACCAGTCTTTCCCAAAATCCCAGTTAAGCTATTCAGGGATGTTAGCCATATTTTGAAAGGTTTTAAATAAAATTTTATTAGTGATTTATAAAGAAACTCGATGGTAGAATCTATACTTTCTTAGAGAAATCTTTTAATCCAGTCCCATCTGATTTCATGGTCCCTAGTAGCCTATTGCTAAGTCTGCCTGCATCTTCTGGTCTGCAAGGCGACATGGAGACCAGGCCTGTTTCCATTTCGCCTCTAGTCTGGATCCAAAGATGAGCAGGAATGGGTATTTCCATTCTGCTGGGCGTTCGGAGCGCAAAGCTCTGCTGGAACCTCTGACTGGTTCATAAGCCGGCGAGGTCTGCTTCCACTGGGCGCGTTGCCAGCCGTCCAGCCCCACCTTCCCCGTTGCTCTGTCAGCTCCTCCCACGTCCCGCAGGACCCCCTGCGGGGTTAGGGGGCAGGGATCCTTCTCAGGTTCCGGTCCTACCCCCGGCCCTGCGACCTGCCGTGGTTGGCGCCGGTCCGTAGCAGAACCTGAGCGCCGTGTCGCGGGGATCGTGTACCTCAGCCAGCTCAGCATCCACTGTGAGGGGCGGTGAGATGAGAAGGTGACCTTGTGGGAAGCTTTCAAATGATCTCCAGCTGACCCCCACACTTTTTCAACTATGAGTGCCCCCCCCCCCGAATGCCATTAGTAATAACGTCAATAATGTTAGGGAAGGTTAACCGAATACATCATCCTGATCATATTTCTGCTCTTGCGATACTTAGTATTAAAACAATGTTAACATCTGAATATGGCCATTTCATCATACTTTTTTTTTTTTTCTTTTCCTTAATGGACAATTTTGTCCAAAGCAACATATATTGTTATTTCAGACGGTCGCTGGATCAATTGGAGGTCCAATGCCTGGCTCAGGGCCCCACAAGTGAAACCACTCTGACAAGCTTGGGATTTGAACCAGCGACCTTCCGATCATAGACAATGTCCTCTCCCACTGAACTGCACGCCATCCCACCTTTACATCGCATTACATCACGCTGCACTTTATTTATGTGCAATCATGCAAGATGGGAGCTAGTTAGCTTCCCAGCCGCTCAGGTACAATGACAGACCCGGGGAAAATACATTCTGCCAACTGAAGGATTATGTTTAACGGGCCGGCGCCTGAGGGTGGGTGGGGCTGGAGGGCATACCTTCCGCAAGCTTCCACCGTAGGTGGGCGATGATCAGGAGCAGGAGTAGAGCCACAGGGAGGAAGATTCCGAGCAGGAGGAACCAGCCTGGGACCTCCTTGAGGAACATGGCCACGCTGGGCATTCTGTAGCAGACTGTGAACCGGCCGGCCACCCCGGGCCTGCAGAAATAGCCGGTCTCATCTGGACTTTGCGCTTCTAAACAAGCCTGTGATTGCAAAGAGGCTTCCCAGGGGATGGGTTAATGGTTCACTCAGCCCGTCTCTGGGGTCCAAAGGCTCAGATTAACTCCTCAACCAGCTGACTGATGTGTTCGCTGACCTTGCAGGAAGTTTTGAGTCATATGTTTCGAAGATTAATTAATTAAAACCATGATTGTGTTGTTTAAAAAATCCCCCCCCCCCCTTCTTCTGTCTGCTTTCTCCATCATCCAATTACAGTTGAAGTATGACTGACAGGCTGCTGCTCATTTGACCTCTTTATCTTTGACCTTTTCTGATTGGTCCCAGTAAACGGTTATCAGGCGTTTTTGCCTGGTACTCATTAAAATGCCCAGAACAGACTAAATTGGTTATCTTTAAATTTCCATTAAATATACTGTGACAGTTCTTCACTTTGATCAACCTCGGAAGATGGATGACGAACTGTAATTTTCAAAGAAAAAGCGTCCCTTATCTGTCCTGACACTAGCCTTGTTGAAACATCTGAAGCTATGTTGTGTAGTTTTGTTGTTCATACAAGATGAGTTTTGAACAGAGTATAAGGGAAATGTCACCTGTCTGATAGTTTATAATGGTACATAATTAAATAAAATAAAAAAAAGCAGAGCTTCTGTGTTTAGAATACACCTTCAGTTTGAGGACCCCGAGGGTGTCTTCAGCCTGCCTGATGGTGCTCTGCACAGCCTCAAATGGACAGCATGGTGTTGCATAATCAATGAAATATGACATGCAACTAATGCATCTACTCTGTGTTCCCAGGGATATTGCAACGTAAAACAGAGAAAAGATGCATGAACTTCCTTTGCCTGCTGTCAGTGAGAGATCACACTGGTGAAAAATAGTGTCTTCAGTGGCGTAATGGGTGGGTTGATTTTGGGGTGTTTTGTGGTGTTTGTAAGCACTATTGGACCATGTAGTGCACATGTGCAATAACAGGTTCTCCTTGACGGCAAGCGAGGGCCATTCTCTGGTCTGGTTCCAGGCGCGCCAGCTCGCCCTCAGATGTATGTCAGACTCACGGGATGCCTGTTCCTTTCTGCCGTCTGCATCGTCAGCTACAGTATTAGCGGCAAGCACTTCCTCATCCAGCATCTCTACAGAACGTTCCTGGATCTCCTTTATTTTTTAGCAGGTTAAAAAAAAGTTCTGTTTGCGTTAAAAAAAAATTCTCCACATTATTAAAGATTCCAGACCTTTATCAACCCATTAACCATTTGTGGTAATCGTAATAAATATTGTTATACACGTAAACACTCTCTGTTGTGTGTTTTAGCAATGTCCCTAATTATCTTAATCTGTCATTTAATTTTGCTGTGTGGATTTATGGGTCACGGACTGGTTCCCTCAGGTTCCTGCGGCAGGTCTAAGACAGCATACCACCCTGGGATGGATGGGTGGGAAATATACTGATGCAGTCAGTCTCTTGAAACAGTGATTCCTGTATGCGCTTATTTCAGCAAACCTTTCTAGGAAAAAATGCACACATTTTCTATTTTCTGTGTTTGTTCCCAGGCATGTAGGAGGTCTTACTACCAGCCACTGGGGTATTTCTGAGAGAAACCCTCCTGTGTTTCATCTGCTCTTGTTTACTTAGCTGGCTCATTTGCATACTGTGTATTAGATTATCCAATCAGGCGCCTGATCTCCACCGATTTGTGACCCTTTGGAAGCAGCAGCTCTCTCTCCCCGGTCATTGCCGTTATGAAACGTTGACTTTGAGTGGCAGAGTTGACTGTTTTGAACTAACGAGTTGATTCCTTTTAATCTTCATCTAGATCTGTTCTGTTTCTCTGGCATGGTTTGTTCATTAAATAATGCTGACATCTTTTTAATGATTTTACTGTGCATTTCATTCAATTTCAATGCATGACCATGTTATTTTGCAAAACGAAAACTAATCTATTTAAAAGTCAGATATTTCTATCTGTCATTGTATTTTGTGGATGGTGTCTGGAATATGGTGCAAACGACTAAAGAAAGACTGCGAATTCCCTATCTCCCAGACTGATCTGAAACCGCACTCCCCAACAGATAACGGTGCTGCTCTGTGCAAACGTTATGTTTCACAGATGGAGCGGAATCAGTGTTTTAAGCGTGAGTGGGAGGTCACGTGACATCGGAACCCAACTCCTCTGAGGTAAACGTGCACTGCGGCCATGTGTCTGGCGTCGGCTATTGCCACCTCCGCGGAGGACGAGCACATGCTCCTGTGTATCATGCTCCCTTTCAGCTCCACAATCAGCCCCGGGAGACGGATCCCTCCATTTTTATGGAGAGGGAAGAAACGCACACAGGTATACATTGTAGTAAAATGAAAGCCACTGTTCAGCCTTGATTTACTCAGAGATTTTTCCACGGGCTTTTAATTCGGCCTGTTTTTGTGCCGACCTCCATTACGTTGGGGATCTTCTGAATCGCGGCAGCTTTCAGACACATTTGGAGATTTATAAGCGCGGCTCCAGGGCCCAGGAGAGCTGCTCTTTCCGGCACTCAGCGCACAATGTAATCGGCAGGCAATTAAAGTTCCTCTCTCTCAGGTTAGCCTTCGCACAAGCGTACTTCAGGAGAATTAGTCATGCTCTCCTGCGTCACTGTCGTGGTCATTCGGAAAATGTGTAATGCATTGCTAAACACCAGGAAGACAATCATTATATTTTGATTATCATATAAACTTTTAATTTTGGAAGGTTTGCGATTCTTTGGCAGAGCTCTGTAATGGGCAGGGATGGACATTTGTCATTATACCAGGTTATATATATATATTAGTGCTGTCAAACGATTAAAATTTTTAATCAGATTAATCACAGGGTTACTGTGGATTAATTACGATTAAATGTCATTCATTTTTAATCTATATTAATCGCATTTCATTTTGCATGAGCAAACAGACTCAAGAAAAAAGGGAATACATATGCACTTAACATGTTTAATAAATGTCTTGAACAGAAGTCGGATGCATTCCATCTGCCACAGAAGTGCAATATATACCATGGACCCATATGAAAAAGCAAGATTTTTTGCTTAGCCGGACATCTTGTCGTATTTAAGGTACCTTCGTTTAAATGCATGTCTTTATCTTCGTTCACTTACAATTGGCCCGAACTACCGTAAATCCGACAAATAATCCGACTAATCATGAAATCCAATTCTGGCTCGGTTAATTGCCATTGTTAGCAATATCAGTTGATAACATATTACGCGTGGTGCTTTACGTTTAAAACTCCTTAGCAACACGTCCACAGATAAGTTGGACGGTATAGTGTGTGCGACCGATTTAATGAGCCACAAATAAGAAGTAGTGCTTAAACAGGATAAAACTACAACTTTCCCTGCTGTTGATAAAAGGCGCAGCCGTCTCGGAGTCTGAACTTGGGATCCCCTGTGCTGCTCCGAGATATTTCTCAGATCTCCGAGAAACGGGAGCGCGCATGTCATCACTTCCGGCTTCAAAACTCGGAATCCGAGTTCCCAGGGCAAATGGAATGCGCCAAAACTGCCCGAAATGGGTTGACAGAGACATTTCTGGGATTTTGAGTCATTCTGCGCTGCAGTTGGGTTAATTGCGTTAAAAAATTTAATCAGATTAGTCATGATGTTGGATTAATCCACGTTAACCCGTAAATTTTGACAGCCCTAATATATATATTGTGCCTTTGGTAAACTTGTTTTTCTGTAAACAGAATACAGAAGCTCCTATCTGGAATCTACCTGCACTCACACTGTAAGTACAATCAGATGTGGAGATTTCAGGTCCAGAGAGTACAAATCCAGACCAAGATTACTCTGTTACTGTGACTCTTT